CCCTGCAAGTGTATCGGAAAATTTCAACCCACTGCAATCACCAAGTTTTTCTCGGTGGATCAATGTACATTTATACGTTTGTGTCGACTGATCGGTAAAATCTATATCTATATATATAATAAGAATTAACATTTTTCAAAAATAGTAAGTCAAATTTTGGTCAAAATCCTATCTGCATTAATTACATGCCACTTTTGGTAACTTTTTTTTTTCTTACAAAAAAATCGGGCAGCATTAAATGCTGCCCTTAAAATGTGGGATTTGTTCAATCACAAAAGATTTGAACACATTTTTAGAGATTAAGACCCTTATTTTAAATTAAATTTCAAAATACAGTCAAAATTTATATAATCGACTAAGATTTGTAATATTTTTTAAAACAAATATACATTCAAATAGAAAATGAGACTTCATTTCCGGTATTCATTTTTTTCGACTGAATAAAATTTGGATTTCGACCGAAAATTGAAAAAATATTCCAGATCCGTCCATTAAATTTACGAAATTTTTAAAATCTACAAAAAAAAATAAAGCAATATGAATCAAAATAATTGAACAACACATTACATAAGTCTCGATATTCAAAAGAAAAACTTTTGAAATGATCGAAATAGTAATAACAGAGTCAGTTTTTCATCGGCTTCGACTAAAAAACAAACATAAAATCTTAGAACACACAAAAAAATATGACAATCAAAAGAAATAAAATAATAGAGGTATCTTTCTAAACATAAAGACGATATAACATCGATTTATCTAACATAAGAAATCGACTCGCAATAGATGTGATTTATTGTTTAAAAAATAGAGCATTTTTGTGAAAATTTGAAAGAATATTTTATCAAGTTTCTATAAGTGATATAAGAGAGAGAATAGAGAAGGAAAGCGATGGGAGGAGGAGAAGTAATGACATAACCCTAATAATTTGGATATTTTTAACTTTTTTAGATGGCATCTTTGATTTCTGACCGTTAGATATCGGTTGACTAATCCATACCGTCTGCTTTCATGGTTGAACTTTATTTGGTCAATTCAATAATATGTTATTGGCCCTTTAAGTTTAACACGACCAGTTTAGTTGAGTACATTATATTGTGGAACATAATTGGGTTTCAATTTTTTTTTAAAAAAAATAGACAGACTTCGCTATATAAAAATAAATAAATATAAAAATTCCATAAATTATTATAGCCGTGCATAGCACGGATTACTCAGTGTAATAATAATAATAATAATAATAATAATAATAATAATAATTTTTGAAACCTTGCGTACTCAAATTTTCACACGTGACATCATAATTCTCTTTAAAAAAGGTATCAATAGTGATTCCTCACTTACGTGACTCGAACTCAAAACTCATTTATAATTGTTATTTAATATTGTTTATTCGTGCATCGCACAGGGTACGCACTAGTATTTGATAACTGTAATGCATTCGATGATAAAATTGAACCCTCCGAGTCTAATTACTTAATTGTGTAGGTATCATGTTATTTAGTTTAGAAAATGTCAAATACTAAGACTATTTATTGCTTTTGACTTGATATAGAGATGTATAATATTGTTTCACATTTGAACCAAAATTTAGTATGAAAAAACCCACCCGCTACAATTTTTGCTATGGATCAAGCCGATAACACACACTATGAAATTATTTACAATTATGAATAAATCGTGAAATCGAGTGTTGTCATATATTCAGTTATGACAACCATTTTGTTCTCAGTTCATGTTTCTTGAATCTACTAAAAGGTAAATAAATAGATGATATTAATAATTCATTATGGTTCGATGTCAGCTTTCATATTTAAGGCTTTGCTGTAAATGCATGTATCTAAATAGAAAAGATTGTGATCATCAGAATGAAAAACTTAGATACAATAAATAGTACTACATTAGATTAAGATTTTAATAATTACATTATTATTTATATTCAAAATGACACTCATCATATTATAATTATTTTTTTAAGTCATATTAATAAAAAAAAAATCTCTAACTCATATTATATAATTGATGAATAATTTTATTACTTTTAATTAGTATAGATATATAATTTAAATTTTGTTATTAATGTAAATATATAATTATTTATATATATCAAATCGAACTTGTTAAGAGAGAATTAATTTATAATATCGTATATGAAAAAAATATGATAATAAATACGAAAATTATTAACTTTTAAATTGTATTTATAATATAAGTTGGTCAATGTATTATAATTTTAAAAATCCAAGATCATTAAAAACTACATAAGCTAGACAAGTATTCGTGCATATTTAGCAATAGCAATATCTCTATGATGTGAAAAGATACGAGGAGATCATTTTGGCTCACTCACAAGTCACCAAACAGAGAGGCAGTTGGGCATAATAATGGCGGGGTCGATGATGAAGAAGAAAACACAACCACACACAATTTTTTTTTTTACTATTATTATTATTTCAAGAAAATACTGTATTTGTTGAAACCTGTACTGATTCTTGTTTTATTGTATTGTTAAATTAGAAAAAAATAAAATAGAGAAACCATAAAGTCACATTTTGTCGTCTTCCATTGAAAGCATATAACAAACACCTTTTCTCCATTATTGCACGTTTGTCCCACCATGTTCTCGTAGCTCTCTCTTAATCGGCCAACTCTATTCAAACATATTAATTAACAAAATTTATTTTTTCTCTTATTCTTGACGGATTAAAATATTCCTACATTCGGTTCATTGTATATTATGACTTTTAAATTAAATTCAATTTTAGTGATCCAGCCACAAACTCATATATGGTATGATAATATCATGTGTTCCACCTACCCACCATAGAGATATTAAATATGTTCGCAGATCACATTTTTAGTAATCTTTCAGCCACAAACTCATATATGATATGATAATATCATGTGTCTCTTATCATACTAATCGATGACAATGTAAATTTGTCCTAATTTCATTTACTTTTCAAGATGTATTACTAATTAGTTGACTTTGGATTAGGGCCGGCCCTGTGGTAGGGCGGGCCGAGCAACCACCCAAGGCCCCTACTACCCCATGACCTACTTTTATATACATTTTTATTGTATGTATATATATTAATTATATAATAAAATATTAAATTAATCTTCTAATTTTTTTAATCTTTTCATTATTCTTTTAATGCTTTGTTAATTTTCTCATCTTGCTTGAATATACAAAATGTTATTTTATATGCACAATTCAATTATGTTCGTGATAGTCAATAAAAGAGTTAAGTGAAGTCAACTCATTTTCAGACGAGTTTCAATTTGGATTTGTTATTCAACTTTGTTAAATATAAAATAAAAACTAATATTTTCTAATAAAAAATTATATAATTATGACTGAGTATTATGTATTGCACTAACTTAGGTCATGTACTTAAGCAAAAGAAGTTTGGAGCTTTGATTGTTTGTTTTTTCTTTGAATAAAAATGAATTTCTCTTTTCTCACATTTAAAAAAATTTAGCTATATTTTTAAATCTACTGTTTTTAATATGGCGAGTTACACTATCTTTATTTTATTAACTTAAAAAAATGAAAACAACTAAAAGCAACATTTATCACTTTTCGCCCAGGGCCTTATACGACTCAGGACCGGCTCTGCTTTGGATTCATGGAGTGGGGCCCACAAGAAAACCCGAGATACCTAAGATGAGGAGGATTATATTAAATGAGATTTTGAGTTTGTATTTAACTAATGTTTAAATTATAATGATTAAAATTGATGTAATGTAAAAGTATGAGAGAGGTGATTGAAAATGATGGGTGGTTAAAAATATGTGAGCGTGATTTGTCAATTTTGTTGAGATGATGTGTGAGAATTATTGATTGATATTGTTAATATATTGATAAAAATTATGATTGATGTGATGTAAAAGTATGTGAGGGATGATTGGAAATTATGAGTAGTTAAAATATATATATGTGAGTGGTTGAATATTGAATTTGTTGACGAGATGTATGAGCTTGATTGATATTATTTAATTATACTAATAAAAATATGAGAGTTAAGTTGAATTTGTGTTAAACTGCCTAAGGAAAATATATGGCCATTAAAACCACTTTTGACGGGTTTCCAACTGCCTCCTAGGGATTGCATTGTGATCAGTTAAGGTGGTGAGATACAAAACGAGATTGTTGCTCAAGGATTTTTGCAAAGACGTGTAATTGGCCGAATAATGTGCACGTTTTATATATTTAACAATGTATTTTTATACACTTAAGTTATTTGCACGTTTATATTTTTTTGGCTTATGTATTATTTGAATGAATTTATTTGCTATTATATTTTTATGATTTATTTTCAGCAAATCAGAGTATTTTGTGGACGCGAAGCTTTGTACGGAGATTCATACGATCAATTGCCGAGCACTCCATACTTGTCCAATTCCAGTCCAAATTTAAGCCCAATTCTTAACAAATTTTTAACATCAAAGGCCATTTAATTAATGAGGGATTGAGGGACCAATTCCAGTCCAAATTTAAGCCCAATTCTTAACATCAAAGGCCATTTAATTAATAAGGGGATGAGGGAATTTCTTTAAGAGGAATTTACACTCCATACAATCATATATATTTTATATTACATATTTACATCCAATTAATATTTATTTGTAAAAGTACATAATCATTTCAACATATTTGTACATATACCAGATTTTATAAGTGTATTAATTTAGGATTTAAATATGGAAAATGAATCAATTATGAACTAATTGAGATAATTAATACATTTTTCTTTTCTTTTCCCTTTTTCTTTTCCTCCTCCTCTTTCTTTTCTTCTTATTTCCCGTCACTTTTCTTTCCTCTTCCTTTACTTCTCCTCCTTCCCAGATCTCCATTTCTTCTTCTTCTTCTTCTTCAAATTCACCCTCTTCACTGTAAATTTACTTCTAAAAATTCCCCTTTTAATTTTCTTCCATTTTCAACTACTCAATTACCCCTGGCCGAAATTGGCTATTGACGGCGATGGGAATGGGCGCCGTTGGCTCAGGGGGCGGCGATTTGGGGTGGTGTCGGAGAGGTGGCGTTCTGCCTCCCCGTCAAGGTGCGGTCGTTTCTTCGCGGCTGCGACGGCGAGGACGGCTGGAGATCGATCGCCGACGCTAGGGCTGCAGCGGATCGCGACTTTCCTCGACCTGGTGCGGCTGAGACTTGTGGCATCTCGAACGGCTCTCCGGCGCGGTGCTGTTCGTATGCGGGGCCATCGCCGGTGGTCTCGTCAACGGGAGAAAAGTGTTCGCGATGGGCTGCTCGGAGGCTATCCCAAACAAATTTACCCGGTTACGGTTTTTTGGATTTTTTGTTTTCTTGTACGATTGAAAATCGATTGGTCTTGCGATTTCGAGCTTCGGAAATGGCTTGGGGATCATGAAATCAAGCCATATCTCCACGTAGTTTGCTATTAATTTTAGACGAATTTACCTGGTTACGGTTGTGTTGTATCGTGTTATATGTACAGTATATGATGGGTATATGTACAGTATATGTTAAATATATACTTTTTTCTATCTGTTTTGACGAAAATCTTCTCAGAGGTAATTGTCGAACACTTGGTGTGCTTGATTTGTTGATAGATAGTTCTATTCTGTACATATTGCGGGTATATGCTGTGGGTATATATAGTATATTTTCAGTATATGTTTCGGTATGACAATATGTATGTTTCGGGTATGAAAATTCTGTACATGATTTACATGTTACCATCAGATATGAAAATTTACACGTTGCGGGTATATACCAAAGTTGTACAACACACATATACATAAAATATACATAGAATATACATAAAATATGCATAAAATACACACTCGAGATTCACGTAATTCAAATCCGCGACACCACATATACATAAAATATACTTTAAATATACACTCGAGTTTCAATCGTTTCTCAAAATCGATTTTAGAACCCACATATACATAAAATATA